CACCTAGCTACATTTTCATTTAAAGAATAAACACTATGTGGGGGTTGGAGTGCAACCTTTACTTCTAGCTCTTAAAAGGCAGAGGCAGTTGGATCTCTGTGAGTCTGAGAGCCTGGTCTACAGATGAGATCTTATCTCTGAAAACAAATTAAGAAAGAAAATTCTGTGCACAGTCCCCACCGCTACCACCAAGGAAGTGCCAGCCTGGAAGTGGTTGGCAGAGCACTCCACAGTCTTGAGCTTGAGGGAGCAGGCCCAATCTGCCCTCTGATGGCAGGGATGAAAGTGACACCTGTGGTGCTGGCACTATTCTCTTGACTCTCAGGGCAATTCTTGCTATCTCTAGTTCCCACTCGATTCCTGAGGTAAATTTCTGCTGCTGTGGGCTGACAGAGGAGGCACTTAGTGCTGAGGAGTTGGTGGGAGTTGATACAAAACTAAGGTTCTGCAGGCTTGGGTCTGGCTGAAGCAGGCAGCACTGTTAAGTACGAGGTGATCTGAAGCTTTCCCAAATCAGGCTTGGCCTACAAGATGGAGGGCAATCATATCCACAGGAGGCTCAGCCCCAAAGGACCAACCACATGCTCTAGCCTAGGCCTCCAGGGATATGCTGACACACTTGGGACAGGCAGAAGATATAAACAGAGAAGGGCTAAGGCCCTGGAAGAGAAAGGAGAAGCCTCACCCCACACACAGAACCAGATCCAGCAGTCACCCCTCAACCCTCAGGCAAGGTGGTCTAACTTTAGCACAGGAATTATTTCCCCCAAGGCAGAGCTGGGCACAAGGAAGTGTCCTGAGCCCCAGGTCTGAGGAAATAGTCACCACCAGCTCCCAGGTCCAGTGAGGAATGGCTGGCCAAATCAGGCAAGGGCCTAGTTCTCACCCCTAATCAAAAGCTCAAGAATGAGTACCTATAGAGAGATAGGACAACTGAAAGAGGGCATGAAGGGGACAGGGCCAGCCTGGGCTACCATATTCTTGCAGAGCAGCCAGCCAGGCACCTGGAAAGGTCCAAGAAGGATCCCTCACTCTGCAACATCCTGCTCGGGGTTTACCCAAAGAAGGAAAAGCTGCGAGCTAAGAGAAGCTGCCAGAAGGCTGTGTACAAAGACAGGCCTGAGCGGCGGGAGAACCGGTCTCAGGATGACACCACCCTGGCCAGACTGGCTGGCAGCCTGAGAGCAGCAAGGCTGAACGTAAGGACTGTTCAGAAGACAAGGCCAGAACACCAGAGGCTGCAGGATTTGGGTCAGCTGGAGAATGACAGGCATGTGTCAGAGGACACTCTGCTTAGGGAACAACAGAAAGCAACAGAATGTGACCTCAGGGTTGAGCTGCAATGTGATACCAAAGAGGGCTGAACTGGTGTCAGGCCAGAAGCCCATATATAGCTCCACAGGCTAATTGTGGCATGGGAGATGTGGGCCAGACATTAAATGCCCCTGGGAAACCCAGGCCAGTGCAGGTTGGGTTGTCCCAGCTCAGCCAAGGGTTCTAGTCTGTCACCTGAGAAGGACTGCCAACATCCATGATGAACTCAAGGCATACCCACAAGAATGTGACCCTTTTTTGTCCTAGGACTGTTAGATCAGAAAGTGTCTGAAGCCACAGACTAGACCGAAGACAAGCACCCAGCAACAGCAGAGGGCCACACAGGGATGCTGCACACCACATGACCAGTGTGTCCAGAGGACAGAGCAGCTGAAGAAAGCCAGGTCCAGCAGAGCCTGTTTTCATTTCATACAGTGTGTGCAAGGCACAGATACTTCATTTCACACAGATTCTGTTAATGGTTTAGCTGGGGGATCACAGGTTATGTTTTTATACATTTTAGGATAAAACATCCAATTTACTTTTAACTATTTTCCAAGCACTTCGTTGGCTACATTCTTGTGTATCAGCTGTCCACAGTACTTACACATTCCCGGCTGCAGCTTCTCTCCCACCCGGCCTGAGGTACCTGAGCTGAACAGAACCAAGGAAGCCTCTGTCCTTGTTTGACTGGCTTCTTTCATCTACATAACTTTCGCAAAGTGCAGCAGTGTTTTCAGTTTTTTAATCATTTTATTTTATGTGCATTAGTGTGAAGGTATCAGATCCCTTGGAATTGGCAGTACAGATAGTTGTGAGCTGCCACATGGATGCTGGGAATTGAACTCAGGTCCTTTGGAAGAGCAGACAGTGCTCTTGACCACTGGGCTCTCTCTCCAGCCCCTGGGTGTTTTCAGTTTTGAGGCTGCATGACAATCTGCCTCTGTATCGAGAGCACACTCTGTGTAAGCGCTCTTCACTTGAGGTCTGGGTTTCCACCTCCTGCCAACTGTGAACAGTCCTTGGCAGAGCCCCCACTTCCATTCCTTTGGGGCCACCAGACTTTTCCACAAGGCCAGGCCTTTTCCATCCCACCAACAGACTGATACCGTTACTTAAAAGGCACCATTTTCTATCAATGGTCACTGAGGAAGGCAATCAGTAGGGTCCTGGATTCTTCTGACCTTGTTGGTGCTGTGTGGTTTGTAAAATATACTCTCTGTTCTGCCCAGGACAAACATCTCCCCTAAGAGTCTAGGAAAACCCCATACCCTGGACCCCTAGTGCACAGGGCACTTTCTACTGCTGGTTCGGCATGAAAGGAGGTTGATGGCAAAAGCCAGCCCTCTGTGCCCCTCCACCTCCCCAGGAGAGAGGTGGCAGCTGATGGCCCACCCTTTGCCCCAGGGGAGGGAGACTCCTGGAAAGCCTGAGCAAGATGCTTAGCCCCAGAGGCCATGGTGAGGTGTGTGTCCAGTCTGGCCTCAGCATCAGTCATCAGCAGATGATGTCCTTGAGAAATGGTCTCAGCAGAGCCTGCAGTGAGCGAGCTGAGTTTGTGCTGGCAGCAACAGTGAGGCTGCCAGCCTGGGCCTGCCCCAGGTGAGCTGGGTTTAGGTTTAAGACCAGATGGCACAGGTGAGGCCAGTTAAGGCCCATTCTTCCTAGCCACAGCTGCCTACAGGGTGGAGCCCCAGGACCTCTCTAAGTCAGGCTCAAGTTTAGGAAGCCTGCCAAGAACAGGAAGCTGGGCAGAGCAAAGATGTCCATGGCTCAATCCAGGGCCCCAGACCTCACAGTCGGAAGCACTGCGAACCACACCTGAGTGTGAGGCTGGCTACACAGGGCAGAATTAGAAGTTGTTCTGTGCTCCCAAGGCTCAGAAACATGTCATGGAGCCTGTGGGTGGATCACTGGTGCCAAGCCCAGCAGAAGCTCGCCCGTGGAGGGGCCTATGGGAAGGGCAGGGCTCCAGACCCCACGAGTGAGGACTAATGGTTGACATTTCCTCACGGGATCTGTGGTGGTATTAATAAGAATGGCCCCCATAGGCTCTTATCTCTGAATGCTTAGTCACCAGGGAAAGGCACTACTTGGAAGAATTAGGGTTAGGTGTGGCCTTGCTGGAGGAAATGTGTCATTAGGGATGGGCTTTAAGGTTTCAAAAGCCCATGCTAGGCCCAGTCTCACTATGCCTGCCTGCAGATCAGGGAGCAGCTCTCCACAACTGCTGAGCTACTTAGCAGTATCTGTCTCAAGATACACGATAAAGAAAAAGGGCCAAGTCTCACTAAACTGTCTCAGTGTAAATGTTAGCCTGTACATACTACCTACCCTTAGCCATTCCTGAGGCTCCCCATAGGTGCAGTGCTGTCTGCGTGTCACCAAGCTCCCTGCTGTGATGATCAAGGACTAAGCAGCCGAATCTGTAAGGCAGTCCCTAATGAAATGCTTTCTTTCAGAAGACTTACCCTGGTTGTAGTGTCTCTTCACAGCAACAGGGTCCGCGTGGTTGCAGGGTCGTGCTTGCTGAGTCTTGCTCCTGGGAGGTAGCGGCTGCCGAGGTTAAGCACCCAGAGCAGCTGGCCTCACACTCTAGGTAGGGTGTAGCAAGAGGATAACACCCCAGCTATGACACACTAATGCCACAAGGTCCCCGCAGGGCTCATGAATATTTACGGGTCATCTCCACTCAGGTTATTTGATTTCCCAGAAAGCAGTTCAAGTGGACAGCCACAGGGCTCCTGGTCCTGCTGTCTGCTGTGACAGTGGCAGAGCACACAGGTGTCTTCACTCCTGAGGTGCTTCCAAGCCACATGGTTGTTGCACTCCCTCCCACCTCAGCCTACAGTGGGCCTGAGGGGTCCAGCTGGGTGCTGCTGCAGTGTGGGGATATAGGGATCACACTGGCCCAGGGGCTCCCAGCTGCAACGACTGACAAGCAAGAAGGGGAGGAATTCCAGGACAGCGAAGGGAGCTGGGATCCATCCTGACCTGTGGGAATGCAGCCTGGCATGAAGACAGGAGGGTGGGCTGGGTTCAAGTACTGGTTCAAAGGTTTTGCTCTTTCTTTCTCAGCACTGACTGGTCAGTGCGATTGCTGGTGAGGCCAAGTCAAGAAAAGCTCCACCCACAGGCTACCTGAGAGGAGCCTCAGAATTGGCACAGGACAGCTACTATGCATAGGCTGAGGCTTACACGGACACTTTCATAAGACTTGGTCCATTTTATTTGTCCCGTATCCTGAGACAGATCTTGCTATGTAGTCCAGCATGTCTGGAACTGTCATGCCCGCTGCTGCCTCCCGAGTACAGGATTCCAGCATGTGTCACCACCAGGCTACCTGACGCTCTTGTCACTGCACTGACAGTTCTGATTTTGACTACTGTTCATTTACAGTGAATCACATTTCTAACACCCTGGTCTGCACCAAACCTGCAGAACCCAGGACAGATGGCAAGACATGTTCCCAGTAGCTGAGTGACACTCCAGGTTGCTCCAGGGCAGTCACTGAAAGCAGACCCTGACCTCAGGGCCTCAGTGACAAGCCAGGCTGGCTCCATGTGAAGTGCTGGGGGCTCTGCCTGCCAACACACAGGAGGAAAACGGTGTATTTGTGGCAACCTGTTTAGGGCTACCTGGCTGTCTCTGAGTAGAAGGCAGAAGGAAGAGTCTATGAAACGGTGTCCACTGTGACATGTGACACCACGCTGAGCAGTTTTATTAGTTGAAGTGGCCCTGTGTGTGGCCATGCTCCTGTCATGCTGCTCTGCAGTCAGTGAAGCACCACCATTGCTACCAGCAAGTGTGGCGGGACCAGGACCAGGACACCCAGGAACCAGACATCTCTGGCAGGACCATCCCTGTGTGTTTGCCCTTAGGAGGATGGCAGTCCTGTGAACCCACTCATGTAGGAAAAAAGCGTCCTCCATTGGGTACATCAGAACCATCCGAAGCTGGCAAGTCTGCAGCTTGGAGTTCAGTCCTCGGCAAAGCAGGACAGACAGACATCAGGCTGTTGAGGTTCCGACTACACCATGAGCAACGGGGCAGGGAGCCCTGCTGTGAGCACACCTCCAACAGCACCTGTTGGTCTAGGAATCCCGAGGGGCTGTTGTCGGGCCCTCACTGCATGCCGAACCACTGCTCTTGGTCAGCCCACTGGGCCGCCTCGCTGTCACTGCCCTCCAGGTCCCCTTCTTCCCCACTCCCCTCCATGTCATCCACATCTTCCTCCTGAGTGGCATCCGTAGGACTCTCCTCTTTCTCCATCTTCTGCATCCCCTCTAGAGACTTCTGGTCATTGGGGTCCAAACTAAAGAACAAAACAAAGGAGAGGCCTGAGTCTCTGCCCTGCTTCTTAGGACTGCTCTGTCACTGAGCTGGCTCAGCGGTGAGACGCCTAGGGTCAGAGAAGCTGCAAACAACTGTGGCTTCCAAGGCTGGGTCCAGGGAGTCCAAAGGTAAAAAAGGACACTGCCTAAGCTTTAGAATGTTTAACTTGAGGGGGCTGGAGAGGGGGCTCGGTAGCTAAGAGCACTTGTTGCTCTTGCAGAGAACCCAGGTTCAGCTCCCAGCACCCACATCCTGTCTCATGACCACCTGTGACTCCAGTTCCCAGGTATCTGGCATCTTCTTCTGGCCTCTGTGGGAACTAGGCACACACATGGTACACAGACACATACAGGTAAAACACCCACCCTCATAAATAAATAAACAATTTGTTACAAATGGCAGTTAAAAATTCTTAATTCAAGTTTGTCCTCCATAAAGTTTTTAAACCTTCTCCACTCTCAAGCCCCAGCACTCTGCTAGATGCAGTGGCCAGACAAGAAAAAGCAGCAGTCCTAACAGAGAGGCTTGGTGTTTGAAGCCAGACACAGGGCACACACCAGTAATCCCAGCACTTGGGAGGGAAAAAGGATCAGGAAACCAAGGTCAGCCTCAGGTCCATGATGAGTACAAGCAACCTGCCTCAAGCAAAGTCACTCTTCTCTGTGTGGCATTGATCCACATTGTCACATGGACTGTGGTAAGTACAGCCATCATACCACACCATGGGATGGACTTTACGTCCTGAGGAACAAGAAACTTTCATTAGTAGCGACACCACAAGGTCCAGAGGCCCAGGATATTGAAGCTTGGGCCTTGCATGTGGTAGGCAAGGCCTACCACTGACACTGAAGCAAGTCCCAGCCACTAAGCAGACCCTTGACCCAAGGCAGGCCATGGGTCAGCAAATACCCTTGAGGAAACTTGGTGCTGAACCTCTACTTCCAGGCCACACTGGATCCTGTTGGTATTCACAGACACAGCTACAGACACAGACATAGTTACAGATGTTAGTCTGTAACATCTCTTCTTGACCCAAAGCTTCCATGAGACTGTCTCCACAGAGGCTCCACACTGTGGCCCACCCACTGCTGAAGGAGCTCTGAGTACTGAGTGCTACTGAGTGCTCTAAAGTGCTGCCTCAAATGTCTACTGGACAAGAACAGATGCACGTGACACTTAGGGAGGACAGCTCCTTGCTATGCCTAAGACATACTCTCAAGCCTCAAAAGCCCACTCTTGCGCCAAGCAGTGCAAATGCCAGGATTTATGACTTACTACACAGCAGCACAGTGCTAAGAGCTTTTTACTAATACCCCGAATCCTCATTCAGCCATTTATTGATCTAAATAAATTTACTATCGTGTATCCACACACAAGTTTGTCTGCACTGTATAAAGGCCACGGCAAGCATGTGGAAGGAAGAGAACAAGCTTGCCGTCAGTTCTCTCCTTCTAGCTTTACCTGGTTGCTGGGAATCAAACATGGGTCTCTAGGATTATGTGGCAAGCACCATTACCTGAACAATCTTGATAGCCCTAATTCAGTCATTTAACAGCCAACGAATAGGTATAGACAAAGAAATTGGTTAGCATTTCACCAAGATGACAGGTAAACGCTATATTCAAACTTCAGAATTTAAGGTTTTGGGTTTTGTTGTTGTTGTTTGTTTTTGTCTTTTCGGGATAGGTTTCTCTGTGTAACAGCCCTGGCTGTCCTGGAACTCAATCAATAGACCAGGCTAGCCTCAAACTCAGAGAGATCCTCCTGCCTCTGCTGGGATCCAAGGCATGTACCACAATGCCACCTCAGAATTTAAGTTTTTAATTATGATAGTAGATAGAAACACAGGAACAACAGCACCTTGATTTAAAAAAGCAGAATGTAAACTATATACTAGGTCTAACCCTACAACATCATGGGTGCGTGTGGGCAAGTGCAAGAGGATCTGAACACATCAGTTTGGGTGGTACACTGGTGCAGGCTGGAGAAGAATAAAGCATCTCTTTAACTGTTAATATGCTTTAGGAAATATGTCAGCAGTCATGAATTCACAAATAACTCTTCTCTCATTACTATTCCTATCCTGCTTTCAACTGTGGGCACAGCGTGTGTTTGCAGAACTGTCACACAAGCCATTCCTCCTCTCCCTTCACCACCTCCCCACGGAAGCACCTACCTCAGTGCTATACTGTACTGGTCCATGGCTTCCTGATACTCGTTCACAGCTACTAGGAAGTCCCCCAGGATCCGATGCAGGACACAGTCGCTCTGATTAGCCAGCGCATTCCTCAGCAGAGCAATTCCATCTTCATATTTCTGTTCCCTGCCTACAGAGAAAGACAATCTTCACTGCTCAGCTAGTGCACAAAGTCATGCTCACTATGATGCCACAACTTCCTTGGAGACATCTTCAAAGGATCATTTCAATGTTTATGAGGGGTATGTGCACATGGTCTTTATAACAAAAAGCATTACATTAATTTATGTGGGAGTGAGCAGGCTTCAGCACATGAGTGAAGGTTAGAGGACAATTAGTGGGAATTGGCTATCATAGGTCCTCAGGACTGAACTGAGGCCATCAGCCTTGGTGGCACCTTTACCCAAGCCATTGAACCTGTGCCCTGAATCCTTAAAAAAAATTTTTTTCAGATAGGGTTTCTCTGTAGTCCTGGAACTCACTTTGTAGATCAGGCTGGCCTCAAACTCACAGAGATCCTCCTGATCCTGCTGCATTACAGGCATGCACCCCCACCACCTGGCCTAGACACACTCTTAAACTTAACTCCAGATGCCAACAGCAAGAAGGCCAGCACTAGACAAGGCAATGGCTCTGCACTACAACCCTGGGCCAAAGACCCTCTTCTAGCCTCATATACACATATGAATATACTAGAAGCAAAAAAGAACAAAGGTAAGAGGTTAAGAGAATTGAGATAGCTTAGAATTGTTCAAACTGACTAATGTCAGTTGTAGTCAGACTAAACTAGTTCAAAACTAAACCAAACAGAGATGAGCTGAACAGCTACTGAGTAATTTTAGCTGGTTTAAACCAATCTAAGCAGGTCTAAGCCCCATCTGATTGTGATAAAGCACTTCAAGCATGCTCAGACTGCTCTGTCATCTATAAGCTTTGGGGACTGCAGTGCCCACTGGAGAGGAGGGTCACAACCATCAACAAAGAGAAATACACAGCATACTCACTGAGCAGCTCTGCTTTTTTCACCACGGCCTTGACGTAGTCTGGCCTCTGGGCCAGGGCTTTATCTAACAATGTTTTAGCTTTCTCCTGCGTCACTGGGTCTTCCAGACATACAGTGGCTAACAGGGTAAGAGTCTGTGCGTTCGCACCGAGAGTTTTGTAAACATTGTTGGCCATCACCATTGCTTCTCGGATGCTGTTAGAAGCTAAGTAACACTCTATGAGACCTGGAAAACAAAGAAAGCAGAGAGACTTTATGGCAGAATGACCCCACCAAGCCCCTACAGTGCTCTGCCAGCGAGTGGCACCTACCCTGAGGTGCCTTCCTCCATTCTAAAGCTCCAATGGGGTGTAAAGAATGATCCAGCATAGCCCTCTGACTATATAAGCAGATTTTTCTTTTTCCCAACTTCAAATTTAAATTTTTCTCTTCAAATTTGAACTTGTCTTCCTGTTTTGAGATAGACTGCTGAGCTTATTTTAAAAATTCTTATATAAAAATATGTTTAGAGGAACAGAATCTTTTTAAGAGCTATTTTAGTCTCAGTGACTCAGTCACCAAATGTTGCTAAACCTGGCACAGCTCTGCTGGGCTACAGTGACATTCTGTTTCAAAAAAATATATCTTAATAATAAAAACTTTAGAAACCAATCAATCGATCAATACTGGAGAGACTCACAGTTTGGTTTTGAAGCCACTCTTCCCCCAGCTGCCGTGACTCTAACACACAACAGAGATGGCAAGCCCTGACCTAATAGAACCTTCCACCCGGATGCAGCTGTCAGGCCTGCAGAGTCACACTGGCAGTTTCCTGTCTTACCTTCGTAACAGTCCAAGCGACAAGGCGCGAGCCTTATGGCCTCCCGAAAATGTATTATAGCCTCCTGGACTCTCCCCATGTTCCTAAGTGCTGCTCCCTTGAGGAGTAAAGCTTGGACACTGTTGCTATTCAGTTGAATGGCCTTGGCGCCTAAGTACAGGGCCCGAGAGTAACGCTTGCTGTAGAAGCTATGGCATCTAGGGAAAAACAAAAACACCAGCAGTTACTTGAAAGAAGCCTATGAAAAAACTCAACACACACTGTGTGGCCAATTCCTGGAACCCTAGCACTTGGGAAGCTAACAAACTGTCTTCATAAACAAACAGATAGCTGCCCACATGGAGGAGGGTAAAGATGCAGAGAAGCCTGATGACTTGAGCTCAGCTCCTAAGCCCTCCACAGGGGAGGAAAGAACTACTCTTTCTACCTGTTCTACGACTTCCACACATGTCAGGTACTGACACAAATGTTTTTAGAAAGCTTTGCCCACAGTCATAAGACCCTATAGATGATCCCAGTAACAAACTATGCTACAACTACAACCCAGACATCAGTAAAGAAACACACACACACACACACACACACACACACACACACACAAACCAGCTAAGGTTTAACCTCCAAAGGGGATCTTGGACAGGTGTGGTCAGGCACACCAGTAATCCCAGGACTTAGAAGGTGAAGTCAAGAGGCTTAGATGTCAAAGTGGTTAAGTGAGCAGAGTGCTTGGCCACCAATGCGATTTCTTTGTCAAATCCCATTTAAGAAGGACCTCTGTGGAAGAGGACAGAAAGAATCTAAGAGGCAGAAATTTGGGAGGATTGAAGCAAAACAGTGTCCTCTGGACATGACAGAACAGCTGCACTCCCGAGCCCACAGAGCTGTGGTGCCTACATAGAATCAACATTCCAGTAGGGAAGGGGAAAGGGTTTAGGAAGTGAGGACTGATAAACAGGGAAGGGAAGTGAGGACCGATGAACAGCTGATGAGGACAGATCGTCTGTTTGTTTTAGGGTCTGACTCCTATAGGTCGACTACACTTCAATGAATTGCCCTATAGCCAGAAGTAAAGGAGAGCACAAAGTATAGTCAAATGGTCAGTAAATAAAATATCAAATGTAAAGAGGATACCAACTGGGGAAGGAGCACAGAGGGTAGAAGTCTTAAGGAGTTTATAGTGAATATGATCAAAATACAAAGTACAAAGTGGTCCCCTCAAAAAAAAAAAAAAAAAAAAAAAAAAGAAAAGGCATACATTCAAGGCCAGCCTCACCCACACAGTAGCCAGCCATAGGGTATATGAGACTGTCCCAAAACACAAAGGCCAGCCCAGGATGATGGTACACCCCTTAAACCCAGCTCTTGTGAAGCAGAGAAGGAAGATCTATTGTGATTTCTAGGACAGCACGGTCTACATCAAGTTCTAGGACAGCCAGGGCAACACAACAGTAGCTCTTTGGCCTTGGCAGCAGAAACAAGATGAGGACAGAGACAAACACCCTCTGGAAAGCGCTGCAATAAGATGCCCTTGTGCAGCCACTGTGGCTCTACAGTCTACCACCTCCACAAGTCGACCTATGACCAATGGAGCTACACTGCCAAGGACCAAAGAAAGCATAACTGCACTGCCAAGCTAGGAGACAAACACTACTGGGACTGGGCCAATGAGCTACCTAAAAATTGTCTATTGCAAATTAAGGAACAGATACTGTGAAAGAATACCACCTAAGTCCAAGTGGGCAGCTACTGCAGCATCCAGCAGTTCATCTTGAGGATTTCAAATGTCATAAAATAAATGTTCTTGTTTAAAAACAAAAACAAGGCCAAAACACAAACAAATCTGGATGTAAGTCACAAATTGATCCAAAAATAAAAATAAACAAGAAGAACTAGGTCTCTTGCTGCAGCAACTCGAGTGGGAGCACCTGCAGCGCGAGCTCGGGAAGAGACTCTACGGGTTGTAAGAAAATGGCAGACAAGCCGGACATGGGGGAAATTGCCAGCTTTGATGAGGCCAAGCTGAAGAAAACCGAGACGCAGGAGAAGAACACCCTGCCAACCAAAGAGACCACTGAACAGGAAAAGAGGAGTGAAATTTCCTAAAAGCCTAGGAAGATTTCCCCTACCCCACCCCGTCATCTCCAAGAACCCCTCACGATGTGGAGAAAGAGCCACCTGCAAGACGGACGCGAGCCACAAGCTGCACTGTGAACCCGGGCACTCCACGCCAATGCCATGGGCCTCTAGAGCAGGACCCAACCCCCTAATCGGACCGCCAAATTTCACCGGTTTGCCCTGGGATATTATAGAAAATTATTTGTAATGATTGATGAAAATAAAACCTCGTGGCAAAAAAAAAAAAAAAGAAGAAGAAGAACAACTAGCTGGGTTCAGTAGCGTACACCTGTAACCCCTGCACTCAAGGAGGCAGAGACAGGCAGCTCTCTTTAAGTTCAAGGTCAGTCTGGTCTACAAAGCAAGTCCAGGACAGCAAAGACAGAGAAAGATTAGGGGTGGAAAAGGGATGAGGAGGGACCAAAGAGAAGCTAAGCAGCTTTCTGGAGAATTTACTCATAAAGCCATGTTGTTACCATGGTTTTATTCCCTGTTTGTGTGAGGCCAGTGCTGACTGTTTTCACTCTGAGAGAGGCCCACTAAACACAATGCGTCATTTACTGTGCATAACCCTTGAAGTAGGGATCATTATCCTGATCTCCAAATGAGAAAACATACTCAGGTGAGTCAATAAATGCCTGTCCAAAGTCACAGGCACATCCTGGTTTGATTCAGATCTCGTGACCTGTGGTGATTTCAACTTATATTCTCTTTTCTTGGTGTAAAGACATAGTCTTAACCCTATGTGGTCCTGGCTGCCTGGAACTTGCCATGTAGATCAGGCTATCCTGAAACTCACAGGGATCTACCTACCTCTGCCTCCTGAGTGCTGGGATTAAAAGCCTGAACCACTATTCCTGGTTCAATTTATATTCTCTCTCTCTTCTTTTTTCAAGACAGGATTTCTCTATGTAGTCCTGACCATCCTAGAACTTGCTCTGTAGACCAGGCTGGCCTCAAACTCACAAAGACTGCCTACCTACCTCTGGCCCCCACGCCCAATGATAGGATTACAGGAGTGCACTACAATTGCCCAGCTCAAATTGATATCTCTCTTTTTTTTTGGGGGGGGGGGGTCTTAAGTTTGTTGCTTATTTTTGTTTTTCCAAGACAGGGTTTCTCTATGTAGTCTTGGCAGTCCTGGACTCCCTTTGTAGACCAGGTTGGCCTTGAACTCACAGAGATCTGTCTGCCTCTGTCTCCCTGAGTGCTGGGATTACAGGTGTGCATCACTGCACCTGGCTAGATTGATATTCTCTTAAAGAGAAAAAATAATCTCTTTTCAAAAATCCTACTAAAAATTGGAGAGAGAAGAGAATAAACAAACATACCCAGAGACTACCCAGGGCTCTGCATGCTGATCAGAAATGTTGAAAAGGCGGCAGCCAAGGTTCTCCACATCCTCCAGCCGCCCTTCTCGTGCCAGGAGGTAGCCATAGACATCCATCCCTTAAAGAAAAGACACAGTAAGAAGAGACTCTTGTACCAATTAAAAAAGGGGCTCAGAAAAGGCAAAGGAGAGACAGGGAAAATGGCTCAGAGCTAAGAATACTTCTTTCAGAGGGCTTGGGTCCAGTTCCCAGCACCCACATGGTAGTTCACAACCACATGTAACTCCAGGGAATCTGTCTTCCTCTGTGGAAACCAGCCACAACATTCACATGGTACACATACACACATGAAGGCAAAACATTCACAAAAGTCAGAGAGGAGTCTGTGAATGGCTGTGGGTTAAAGAAGATTGTCACCAAGCCTGATGAACACACATAGTACAGACAACCACTTCCCACAAGTTGTCCTCTGACCGCCTATGTGCATACACATAGTAATAATTTAATTTAAAAAAATTAAATAAATGCCTGGAGATAGAGCTCAAAGCTCAGGGTTTAATCCCTAACACCATATAAATTGGGATGGGTAGCACAGGCCAATAATCTCAGCATTTGGGAGCTGGAAGCAGGAAGAGCAGAAGTTCAAGGTCAGTCTCAGCTACTTAACAACCCTGAGGCCAGACTGGGCTACATGACACCTTGTCTCTAAGTGACTCAAAGAACAGCAAACCCATTCAAAACAAGAAAGGCCCTCTTCTGGCTCTGTGGGCTCCTGCACACACATGCTGAACATAAACTTTTGGGCACATACCACAAACATGAAAGATCGAAAGACAGGCAGGCAAAGGAGCAGAAGGTCCTATGACACAACTTGAAATCTATTCAAGTATCAAGAACTGTCTGGAGCCGAGGGATGGTGGCTCACACCTTTAATCCCAGCACTCAGGAGGGCAGAGGCAGGTGGATTTCTGAGTTTCTATAGAGTGAGTTTCAGGACAGCAAGGGCTACACAGAGAAACCCTGTCTCAAAAAACAAAAATGAACAACAAAAAAGTCTGTCCCTAAGTCTGTAGTGTAGTTTAAGTTTTGGTTTCTTTAAAAACTCAGTTATGTTATGGAAATATGTTTTTTGTTTTAATCCCATGTGTGGGATATGGAGACTTGTATGGCCCCCAAAGAACCCAACAATCCTAATCAGCTAAGTCTAAAGAGGTCTACGTCCCCTTTCCCTTCTAACCTTCTTTCTCTCCTACCTAGGAGTAGGGTTTTAAGGGAGATAGAGACTTAAGGAACCCCAAATGAAGCAGAGTTTAAAAACAGTGCCAATAGATCGGTATGGTGGCGCATGCCTATAATCCCAGCACTCAGGGAAGCAGAGGTACGCAGATCTCTGTGAGTTCGAGGCCAGCCTGGTCTACAAAAGTGAACCCAGGATAGCCAAGGCTATACAGAGAAATCCTGTCTTGAAAAAACAAAACAAAAAACAAAAACAAAACAGCACCAACACTGTAGTGTGAACAGCAGCCCGAAAAAGCCAAAAGAAACTATCACATAATGCTGTATTTCAACAGTTTAAGCCACTGGGCAGTGGCGGCACAAGTCTTTAATCCCAGAACTTGGGAGGCAGAGGGCAGGTGGGTCTATGAGTTTGAGGCCAGCCTGGTCTACATAGTAGGTTCCCCGACTGTCTCAACAAAACAAAAGAAAAGAGTGCTCAGCCCCAAATAGGTTTACTATGCTGAAAATGCCCAGCCTCAAAAATAGATCCCAAAAAGCTGCAGTTCATTCTAGAATGTAGATCATTAGGGAACATCACCTCTCCCATTCTTCAGCTCTTCTAAGCCTCTTCCATTCCTTCCTCATAGTTTATGAGGTCCCCACACTGGCTCTCATGCACCTCTTTCTACCATTCTCCTTCCTTTCCATTCCTTCAAATTCCCATTCCTCTCAGAGCAAGGTCACAGCCACAATCCTACCTGCCTGAACACCTAACTCTAAGCTAATGCCACCAGGCTAGTATTTCTAAAACATTGCATTTCTCTCTCTCTCTCTCTCTCTTTCTCTCTCTCTCTTTGCTGTTGTTCCTCATTTTTTTCCAGAGAGGGTTTCTCTATATAGCCCCTGGCTATCCTGGGACTCGCTTTATAGATTAGGCTGGCCTCAAACTAGAGACCCACTTGCCTCTGCCTAAGTGCTGGGATAAAAGGCCTGTGTCACCACCACCTGGCTTCTCTCTTTCTCTATTTCTTTGGGGGTAGGTAAATCTGAGACAGAGTTTCAAGTCGGCCAGGATGGCCAGATGAACTTGAACCTTTGATTTTTTTTAATTCTACCTCCCAAGTGCTGGGATTACTAGCATGGTGTGGATAGCTTGGAAAAGAGGAATAAACACCAGAGGGAGAGATCTTATACAAACAAACATACTTTCTAGATATCTTCACATTCAGTCATCCTTTCTGTTTGTTTGAGTCAGGGTTTCTGTGAGTAGCTAGCCTTGATCTCATAGTCCTGCCTCAGCCTGAGTGTTAGAATTACTGGCCACTTATTCTTTACAGATCTAAAAGCCTGTTTATTATCATGAGACATATTTTTCTAATAGGCTCTGTTAGGTCTTCACAAACTGCTGGCCTCACCAGCCTCTCAACCACTGTGCCTTGTTCCTTCACCTCCAACTGCTCCCAGGTCTGAGGTTCTTTTGCTGTTTGTTCTGACTTTAACCACTTTTTCCCTTTCTTCTTATTTGTTCCCCTGCTTCTTCATAATCATACCAAGGACACAGTAAAACCAAACTCCCTAAAAGGATGTTAGGGTTCTGCAGATACCAGTCAGCCAAGCCACTGAGAAGCAGGTGAGCCATGCAAAAAGAGCTGGCTCAGAGCAAGACTGAGGTTGAGATGTGTCCAAACCCTGCAAATCTCATCTTGGGACCAGTAGGAATAAGGACTGTTCACTCCATTATGGGTCTGCATATCCTGGTGCACAAAGCCTTGTGACCCCCACCTCTGCCACCTTTAAAGTAATATGTAGTCTGCTGGCCAGGTTTCAGGTTACAACGTCCTCTTTCCACATAAGGACATGATGTTCAGCTAGTACCTGGAATTGCTCTTCATGCAAATGAAGGACTCCCAGAACCTAGGCCCCAGAAAATGATGTACACTCATCCTGAAAACCTCTTCCCACTCCCCAAGGTTTATATAGCCCTGACTCGCCCCCCAACAAAGGGGAGCTGTTTCACTGAAAACTGTCCCTGCACTCACGAATGCTGCTAGACTACCCACCAGGCTAAGCTTCATTCCTTCCAGTCCACCTAGTGCTGTCTGGACACCCTGAAGGCAGAAACAAGAACAGAGCTGGTAAGCCATATCATAAATTTATTAACTCGGGCTGGAGAGATGGCTCAGTGGTTAAGAGCACTGGCTGCTCTTCCAGAGGACCTAAGTTCAATTTTTAGCAACCACGTGGCAGCTTATAACTGTTTGTAACTCCTGTTTCAGGGGATCTGACGCCCTCACACAGATAAACATGCAGGCAAAACACCAATCAATGTACATAAAAAATATAAAAAAATAAATTTATTAACTCATGGGAAGTGCTATCCCTTAAAAGAAAAAAGCTAAGCAATGGTCCGTGAGGAAAAAAAACAGTCAAATTCAAGCTAAAACAAGCATTCAGAATAGAATTTCCTCAGTGTTAAAAACATCCGCCAGGACAGAAGAGGAGCTACAACAGCAAGTAAGCCTTACAAAACTGTCCTGAAAACAGTAGCAGAGCTGGGCACTGTGGTAGTGCATGCCTGTGGGCCCAGCACTTGGGAAGTGGAAGAAGAATAAAGAATTCAAAGCCAGGTTCAAGGCTACCCTGGGCTACATGAGACTGTGTTTTCAAAAAGTGAAAAACAAAGAACTGGAGAGATGGCTCAGCAGTCAAGAGCAAACACTGCTCTTCACATGACCCAAGTGGATCTCAGCACCCACATCAAAAAGGGTCATAACGCCACCTCCTGGGGATGCAATGCCTTGGCCTCCACGGGCACTTGTCTCACATGTACATATTCACCCACACAGATAATAGACACATCATTAAAATAAGCTTAAAAATAACAAGAGACAAGAAACAGTACCTGATGCCAGTTCTTCTTAGCTGCCCATTCCCCTGTACAGACACTCTCTGGTCCAGGACTCACCTTTTATCAGGTAAGGATCCAACATCTGTGCCTGCTCAAACTTGAGGACGGAATTCTTACTGTCCCCTGCTCTGAAGTACAGGTCTGCCAGGCTCCCCAACAGGTCGACATTGTCTCGCAATAAGGATTTTTTCTCCAGTGAACTTAAAAGACATTAAATACTGAGCCTTACCATCTGTTTATAATTATTGTATCTGGGGTTGGGAATACAGGTGACATAGTTTTCTGTATGGATGACATTTTACAAAAAGATTTTTTGGGGCTTTGTTTTTGAGGTAGGGTCTTACTATATTATCCAGGTTGGCCTTGAACTCATGATCTTCCTACCCCCACCTCCCAAGTCCTGATATTTATAAACAAGCACTACAAGTCCTAGCTATAATGATAATTAACACAAAGAAATTTTGGTGAGCCAGCAAGATGGCTCAGCACTTGCCACTAAGCCTGATGATCTGAGTTTGATCCCTAGAACCTACATGGTGGAAAGAAAGAACTGCCTCCTCCAAGTTGTGCTCTGACCTCCACACAAACACATGTGCACAGTGAACAATAAATAAATACAAATGTAATTTTAGAAACTTTAAAAATGACATAGGGACAACGGACTTCACCCTGAGCCCTAAAGAGTTACGTAAGGGCCTGGAGAGACGGCTCAGCAGTTAAGAGCATCAGATGCTCCTGCAGAGGCCCAGATTCCATTCCCCCAACATTAGCACAGCAGCTCACAACTGTCCATAACCGCATTTCCAGGAATCCAATGCCCTCTTCTGGCCTCTGTACACTTGGCATGCACATGGTTTACAAACATACATGCAGACAAAACAACCATACACATAAAATTAAATAACCAAAATAGCTGAAAGTTATATATTTTTATATACATGCATATGTGTGTGTGTGTATTACCAAATATATCACTTACTATATATAAAAAAACTTTCTGGTTATCACTCTGTGTGTGTGTGTGTGTGTGTGTGTGTGTGTGTGTGTGTGTGTGTGTGATGGGGTTTCACATAGCCCTGGCAAGCCTGCCTCTGCCTGAGTGTTGAGATTAAAGGCATGCACCACCACACCCATCATGGTTACAGAAGAGGATAACATGTAATACATGATTTCTTTATACATCATTCACAAGTGACAGCTACTCATGACAAATACATACATACATATACATATATACGAGTTTTTGTCCTAGGACTTTATTTAAATAGAAATCCCCAACTGCAAAGAGGTATCCTATGTCAGGTGTTACAAAAAAACATGTCTTAACACACCATAAAGGTGTGACTGTGACACCTCAGTGGTTTGCTCTTTAAGGGTGGCCACCTTCACATGAACAGAGCAGAACTCAGGCCAGCTTCTCATTTTCAAAGACACACACAGTTTACTACACTTGCCACCACTTAGTGTACTAGAAAACAACACAGTCCAAAGATAACTGACTGCAACACCAGGCAATAAGCATTATCAGAAAGATAGCACATCTCCAGACAAGGAAAGGGCCAAGATCCTTGGATTAAACCAGATTTGGTGGCTCATGTCCAAAATCCTAGCACTAGGTAACTTGAGGCTGGAAGACTGAGGCAAATTCAAGGGCAACTTGGGCTATGTAGTAAGATCTTACATATCTCAGACCTTGCCTCCCACCAAATAATCACTGAGTTTTAACATCCTGACTCTCACCAGATGGTGTTGATTGCTCTCGAGTTGTCACCAGTGTGCACAAAAGCATATGCTTTAATCCACACAGACAGCCAGTCCAGGTTGGGCACACTCTGGATCACATTCATCGTCATTGATGCCACTTCTGCACCTTTTACAGAAAGGGATAACAAACCTAGGCTCCCAAAAAGCAAGAGAAAGGTGAGACACAGGATCCTCCTTCCAAAGAGCAAAAACAGCAGACTGCACAGCTTCTTCCCTCGTCTAAGCAAGATGCACACAACACACAGGGGTCAGCACCTCACACACCTTAGCCACATGTTGTCACTGAGTTACACCCCTAACCATAAATGTCGGCTATTACTTTCTAGTTTGTAACTGATGGTACGCAGAATGGTTTAAGTCTACTCTAGGGGCTGGAAAATGGCTCAATGGTTAACGGTATTTGCTGTTCTTGCAGAAGACCAAGGTTTGATTCCCAGCACTCACATGAAGGTTTCAAACCATCCACTAATTCCAGTTCTTGGGGCTCCAATGTCCTCCTAGGACCTCTATGGGCACTAGGCACATGAGTAGTTCACATACAAACATAGAGGCAAAACTCTCATTCATATAAAATAAAATTTAAATCTAAAAAAAAAAAACCAAAAAAAAAACCCTACTCTATTTAATGCATACTCATAACTGAGAACTACCATCTTTGACTGCAAATATCCCAGGCAACAGGCAGAAAACTCTATACCTAGAATGGCATCAAGGGCCAAAGGGCACTGCCGCAGGACCTCCTTATAGCTGGTGACTGATGGGCGTTCCTGACCAGCCTTCTTATACAGGTTTGCCAACATCATGTTTATCTACACACAAAAAACAAAGGGCAGTAAAGTAAGTGAGTCTACAACGTGTATTACAAAGGAAAAGCTTCATCATGAGCAAGCTCTGATTTTTATTCCAAACTACTATTCTGCTTTCTATTAGAAAATCAACCCACAGCCCTGCACAAAGACTGATTGTTCGAAACACAGAACCATCATTCTGTTTTTCCTGGTCTTGTTATCCTCCCAAACCACCTCTTTTTTAGACAGGGTTTCTCTGTATAGCCTTGGCTGTCCTAAACTCGCTTTGTAGACCAGGCTGGCCTCAAACTCACAGAGATCTGCCTGCCTCTGCCTCTGCCTCCCAAGTGCTGGGATTACTTTATAAGTGTGTACCATTGCACCCAGCTCAAACCACCTCTTAATATCTGAATTCAATTCCCAGCAACCACATGGTGGCTCACAACCATCTATACTGGAATCTGATGCCCTCTTCTGGCATACATGTAACCTGCTGATAGCGCACTCATGTAAAATAAATAAATCTTTTTTTAAAAAAAAGGTTGTTTTACATCCATGAAATTACTAAGTTTTTACCAAGGTTAACAAAGAAAATGCTATTATCCACATTAAAATGAAAAAATTTTCATAGACTGCTGAGTTGCCCCCGCTGAGAGTGCACATAGGTCAGATGTCTAAACTCAGACTGGATGCCAGAGCTCCCAATTCCATTAAAGGCGCACTCTTTAATACATTGCCAAATTAGACATAAATATACATTCTGCCAATAGGTACCAAGGGATCTTCTAGGTTTTTTTGTGTATGCGCTCATCTGTAGATGCATGCAAGTGTGTAGGGGTACATACACACACATGTGTGGAGGCCAGAGGTCCATGTTGAGTGTCTTCTTTGACACTCACTGAAATAGGAACATGACAATCTGACTACACTACCGGGCCAGCCTGCTGCCACCCCAGGTCTGGGGCTATAGAGACATGCTCCAAAAGTGGGCTTTTTACACTGGTGCTGAGGATCCAAGCACAGGTCCTTAGGTTTTCACAGCAAGCATTCAACCCACTGAGCCACCTCCAGTCTGAGGGGGATCTTGTAGTTTGATTTTACAAAGGGAAAGATTGATGCAATTAAATGTTCCTGTTATCAAATGATTATACATTGAATATAATAAAGAAGCTTTTTAAAAAAATGTTTTTATACCTACAGTATTCTTCAGATCATTATTCCTGCCGAGAAGAAATGTCTAAGAGGGGCCAGAGGGACCACTCAGTAGTAAAAGCATGCACTACTCTTTCAGATAACCTGAGTTCAGGTTCCAGAACCCAAATCAGGTGGCTAATAACTACCTATAACTTCAGATCTAGGGGTATCAGAAACCGCTAGTACACACAAAATTAAAATAAAAAACAAATATAGTCAGGTGTAGTAATGCATACCTTTAATCCCAGCACTTAGGAGGCAGAGGGAGATGGATTTCTATGAGTTTGAGGACAGCCTGGTCTAGAGAGTGAGTCTAAGACAGCCAAGGCTACACAGAGAAACCCTGTCTTAAAAAACAAAACAAAAACATAAAAAGAAAGAAAAGAAAATGAAGTAAAAAAGGAAAACTAAGGAATAGCTAGGCCTGATGGTGAGGTCTGTAATCCCAACTACTAGGTAGGCTGGGGTAGAAAGAGTCAAAGTCCATGCCAGTCTAGGTCACACAGCTTAAGGACAACCTGAGTGAGTTAGTGAGACTGTCTCCAAATTAAAGTTTTAAATGAAAGAAAAGGGTTGAGGCTGCATCTTAGAGAGATTGCCAAGCATGGCTGAGACCCTGGGTTGGATCTCCAGCACCACAAACCAAACCAAACTTTTCTTCTGTTGTCTGTTTTGACATAACCTTGACCTCCTGGTTTTCCTACTTCTGTTTCTTACGCGCTCAGATTATCGGTGAGTGTCACTACACCTGGGACTATCAATGAGTGTCGCTATATCAAGAATTACTGGTAAGTAACACTACACTTGGTATTATTAGCAAGTGTTACTACACCTGGCTGAATTCTCAGGGTCCTTACAAAGTCAGCCATCGATCTGTTTGCACCTCAGCTCCACTACTAGGGACAAGTAGTGTCCCTAGTACTAGGAACCATGAGAAGAATAAAACTGACTTCCTAAAACATGGAGAACACAGAGGATGGGGCAGGGTAAGCAGAATCGGGGAAGAGGGAAGTTCAACTTACTTTGGGAGTTCTTTGTCTTGAAGGGATCCCATCAAGTATAGCTATGGCGTCTTTGTCTAATTTCAGCATTGTATAACACTCAGCCATTTTGTATTTCACTTCAATTTCAGATGGAAGACACTGGGTGATAAGAACAATATCTCTTCAAAACATAATCTCAACAGCATGACAGTTCTTCAAAATATTAAACAAAATCCTTTTGTAGTCTAACAATTCTGTTCCCAGATATGCAATCAAGAAATGAGAACAAGGCAGGCAGTAATGGCGCATGCATTTAATCCCAGCACTCAGGGAGGTGGAAGCAGGTAGATCTCTGTCAGTTCCAGGACAGCCTAGTCTATAAAGCAAGTTCTGGAACAGCCAGGACTCCATTACACAGAAAAACCCTGTGTCAAAAAAAAAAAAAAAAAAAAAAGGAAACAAGAACAAGCTCACCCAAAAACCTGGACACAAAACATTATAGCAGTATTATTCATGATTGACAGGAGGGAGCAACCCAAAGTCCATTAATATAAAGAAGAACAAAATGCATACACCATGGAATATTATGTGATAACAACAAAGAAAGAAGAACTGTTTCATTCTATAACCAATCAACCCATCAGTAAAAAAGACACATCAATCCTGTCTCTCAATGTGTGTGTGTGTGTGTGTGTGTGTGTCTGTCTGTCTGTCTGTCTATTTGTGTATGTATAAAATGTACATATATACACACAGGTCAGGCAATGGTGGTGCATGCCATTAATCCCAGTACTCGGGAGGCAGAGGCAGGAGGATCTCTGAGTTTGGGGCCAGCCATGGCTGCACAGAGAAACCCTGTCCTGAAAAGCCAAAATAAATAAATGATTAAATGAATCTGTTCTCTCAATCACCTGGCTCTGTGGAGTAGATGCAGAATTCCCAGTTGAAGGTCGCACTTTTGACGTTTTACTTAAGGCTTTCTTCTGCTGTAAAGCCATGGTATACTTACTCACAGCGTTGCGGTATTCCTTATCGTGAAAGAGAGAATCTGCATGATACACCAAAAGCTGGTACTTCTGAGACGGGGAAAACAGCTCACTAGAACACAAAAGAAACAAATGCTACATGGGTTATTTTGAAAATTACAAATAATAACTTGGTGCTTACCTAAGTCTAACACAAAGCTTTGTATGTTAGCTTACAAAAAAGCTAATATACCTTACATGCAAGTGGCTAAATGAGAGGCACAACATTTGAACACTATGCCAACACATCTAGAACACTATCTTACTGTATTTTGGCTTTGTAAAATATACTGTTTTCTCACTACAGACACTAAATGATACCTATAAATCAAATAAAATAAACGGATAAAGAAAACATGCTTTCCTTCCCTTTTTTAAGCCCTTTCACCCTTTTCTGGCTTTTGAGACAGTGCCTTACTCTTTAGCCCAAGCAGCCTTGAATTTATATCAGTCTTCCCGCTTCTGCCTCAGAAGTGATGGATTACAGAATGTGCCACTATGCCAACAATAAGACCTCCTATTTTAGTGTTGTTTTACATTACACCTATATTATCTTAGGTTAACATCAAACTTGAAGATAATATTGTCAAAGGATAACAATTACAACCTGACCATTATCAAAGAGCTAGAGAAACTGGAAAGGGGAAAATTTACTACTCTGGATCTTTTTTAGAAAAACTTAACAAAAGCAGGCACCTGAAAACTTTAAATACCAAAGAAAAAGCCAGTATAAGAACAGAATGACAACTCAAAATGGCAGAATGAAAAAGGATCAGCCTTAGTAAGTCTTTTTAAAGAGTTGTTGCTATTGTGAATATGTTTATGTGCACATGTATGCTGCTGCTCAAGAAGAGAATGTTGGATCCCCTGGTAGGTACTTGATATAGGTGCTGGGACAGAAACTCAAGTCCTCTGCAGGAGTCCAAGCACTCTTAGCTATGACACCTGTCAGTCCCTACAGTCTCTGTAATTTTACCTGCAGTAGGGAAACCTGACAGCACTAAAAGCACCATTACCTTGACTCTCAGGTGTCCAAAGACAACGTAAGGAAACCCATACATTTCAAACTTTTTTGTCAGTACTCCACGTTAGAGCCCAAGGCCTCACAAATGCTGGGCAAGTCTTCTATCCCAGAACTTCACATTCCAAAAGACACCATTTTAACTAGTCCTTAATAACAAGGTTAAACATCAAGACACTGCTTTACTTCCTGTCCTACACGGGGTACCCAACCAAGGCCTCCACATGCTATGCAAGCATTCTACCCATAGCTGGTCTGCAACCCCAGTTACCAGCCCTGTGTTTACACCTCCAGTCCCACTACTTCCCAAATTAAGTGAGGTTTATACACTTATACAGGTAAAGAACAGACTAAGACAAGGAATTCCATAAGCAGAAATTTATATCATCATCATCATTTTGGTTTTCAAGACAGTGTCTCTATGTAGCCCTGGCTGTCCTGAAACTCACTCTAGACCAGGATGCCTCGATCTCAAAGATCCGCCTGCCTCTGCCTCCCAAGTGCTGGGATTAAAGGTGTGCCCCACCATGCCTGGCCCAGGTATTTTAAAAGTAGGGCAGGCTATATGTAGTGGTGCAGACCTTTAATTCACTGAGACTCAAAAGGCAGAAGCAGGTAGATCTCCGTGAGGTCAAGGCCAGCCTGTATATTGCCAGTTTCAGGACAGTTAGGATTATAGAGACCCTATCACAAACAAACAAAACAGGAGAAGGATTAAAAAAACAAACCAAGTAGGCACCACTGCCAGGCATGGTCATACACTCCTATAGTCCTAGCATTTCGAAGCAGCGGCAGGAGGGCCAGGCATTCAAACAGGTGTCCTTGGCCATATGATCAGTCCAAAAATCAGCGTAGGCTATTGCCCTGTCTCAGAAAGGGGGGTTAGAGGTACTCAGCACTTAAGAGCATGTGGGTTTTTGCAGAGGATCTAAGCCTCAGCCCTAGCGCGCGCACACACACATACATGCACACACCAGGCAGCTTACGATTGCCTGTGACTCCAGCTCTGACCTCCATGAATCTGATGCCCTCTTCTGGTCTATGGTGCCACCAGGTCTTCATATACATACATATGTGCAGGCGCATAAATGTAAAACCAAAGAGATTCCAAGTCTATCAGATGTCACCCTAATTTCATTTCACTTGAGAAGCACTAATCAGAGGTGACTTTTTAAAGACTTTAGTATTTATGCATACTTGCATGTCTGGGTATATGCATACGCATATACCACAAAACCAAAAACCAGATGGCTTAAGAACACTGGCTGTTCTTCTAAATGTTCTGAGTTCAAGTCCCAGCAACCAACCACATGATGGCTCATAACCACTTATAATAAGATCTGGTGCCTTCTTCTGACCTGCAGGCACAAATGCAGACAGGAATACTGGGCAAATAATAAATAAATAAATAAATAATAAGTAAGTAAGTAAGTAAGTAAGTAAGTAAGTAAGTAAGTAAGTAAGTAAAAGCGTTCATGGTCAAAGCCCAGTGAAGTGGCTCACACCTGTAATCCCAGAACTCTGGGAAGCAGAGGCAGGTAGATTCTCTGTGAGTTCGAGACCAGCCAGGTCTACAAAGTGAGTCCAGGACAGCCAAGGCTACACAAACCCTGTCTTGAAAAAATAAACAAAATGTTCAAGGTCAGCCTCAGTTTCACCAGGATCCTGTCTCAAAAGGCAAAACAAGCGGAGTGTGATAGTACAGGCCTTTAAACCCAGCACTCTAGAGGCACAGGCATGCCGATCTCTAAGTTCAAGGCCAGCCTAGTTTACAGAGAGCCAGGACAGTCAGGGCTATACACAGAAACCACACAGGGAAAAAAAATATTTTTTAAGGCAAACAACATTCAAACAGCAGAAAAGAGGCAAAGGGAAGGGCTACTTCAATTCTGAACCTTAAGCCAACCATCTTCTTTCTCCAAAGAAAACAATTAAGTTTCTCATGCATCATTCCATAAACATGACTAGGCAATAAGTTACAATGTATAAATACCCAGCCGTTTTTGTGAGTGGAGCACTATCTTAGATGCTTAATTTTCAGTGTATAAACACAATCAGGCCTTGTAAGTTTCCTGTCTTGCTTTTGATGGTGCCAGGAACCCAAGCCTGGGTCTTACACATGCTATGTAGGCTCTCCATGTCTGAGCAAAATCTCTAACATCAGGAGAGCTGTCACAAACCACTCAACTGCACCTTTCATTCCTTGAGTTTCCTATATGCTTAGCCAACCTGCCCTTCTTTGGATTTATTTTGGGTAGTGCTAAAATGAAACTTTTGGGTCTCAAACATTCTAGCTAGGTAAGTATTCTACATCTGAACTATGGCACCAGTCCTGTTCTGTTTTTAACAGTGTGTAGATTGTCTGTTCAACAAATATTAAATATATAAAGAATAAAGGTGAGAACTTAAATACTTCCTATAGCTAAGAAACTGCCAATCTAACCTAATGCAAAAAAGCATGGGTTAACCAAATTTAGTTTGGCTAGAGAAGCAAGCTCTATAGCATTCAAACAATGTTTTAACATCGTCAAGACTAAAAGTAAATATTGGGGCATTAATTCCCAATAAAGAAAACTGCTTGGTATAAATCACTCAGATCCAGGGGGAAAGGCCCCAGAATCAACACAGAAGGCTGACAGAGATCAGCGTTCCTCTTAACGTCACATAAGAAAACGGCGATAAAATGATGCCTGTGACCAGCGAGGTCCAAAGCACATTAATGAAGTGGAAATGGGGGATAGTGACTGAATTACAGGCTCCTCACAGCCTTTGGCTGTCTGACTGCACCAGCTTCAGCCAAATGCAAATGTCTGCACAAAGACTCCACTGAAAGGTCATCTGGAGGTACTAGACAGTAGTGGATTACCACAGAAACTATCCCCAATCAGAGCCAACCAGAATTCAAATACCCTAGCTAATCTATGCTCTCTAGAGTGTGAACGGGGTTGACCTACTGAACCTTCCTGTGATAATATATACATTTCCTTAGTAAATTTCAGTAAGTTCAAGAGTGCTTCTCACACATGGAAACTGGGCTTTTTCAACAGATGACAAGTGCAACGCAGAAAATCAAAATTAGAAAATCCTGGTGGCAGGAGGTCTGTTCAAGAAGTGATTTCTGAGCGGAAAACTGAACCAGGAAGTCGTTCTAAAGTGAAACCAGGTGAAGACGCTAAGTAGGCGCCGCAAGCGCCAATGCTTGGAGTTGAGAACCAGCTTGTGCTGAGAACACAGGCAGGGAGGCTGGCCGGCCGGCAGTGAGAGCTCAGACATGAGAAATGGGAGAAAGGAAGGAATAGGCTGACTTGGGGAGTCCTAACGAAGAGTGAACATGATGGGGAATTTTTAAGCAGGGTCCAAGAGGCACTCAAGGCTAGAACTGTCCCGTGCTTCCTCCACGACTCAGGAAGCCGGGCTAGAAATGCCATACAGTTGGCAGTGCTTGCCTAGCAGGCATGAAGTCCCTGGTGGAACCAGTACGAGCCTGGTGGCGCAAACACCTGAGGCGCCAGCTTCTGGGAGGTGGAGGCAGGAGAGTAAGACGTTCAAGATGACGCTCGGCTGGGCAGCCTGCTGCAGGCTAGCCTGGGCTCTATGAGACCCTGTTTGTAAACAAAAGCAAGCGAGTCGCTGCACGGCAGCTGCGTCGGGCCTAACAAAAGGCTGCGAGGACGGATGCTCTCGGTTTCGGGTGTGCCAGGGTGACAAAAGCGGGGTCCCCTCCCTACGCCGGCGGGGGAACCTCCGTGCCCGACACGCGGGCGACTGGATCTCTGCGAGGCGGCACCGGGACGGCGCTCTCCTGGAAGGAGCCAGTCCTCCGAGGCCACCTCCGCCGGAAGAGGCCCTCGCCGCCCGCGCAGCCTCAGCCCCGGCTCCCCGACCGCCGCTCCCCGCCTCCACTCACGGGTTGTTATTACTCATGGTCAGCAGCAAGCTGCTGAGGAGCCGCACGTTGGAGTGCAGCCCCGCGGCCGCCATGTCCCGCACATGGTCTATCACACTCATCCTGTCCGGCGACACCGTGGCTCGGCAGCAGCTGACAGAACCCCCGAGAGCGGAGCTGAGCCGAGCCTCGGGGAAGGTTCCAAAATGGCGGTGGCGCTGGGGTCTTTCCGGTCCACACGCGGCTCCGCCCCCAAGGGTCTAGGTGGCTACCGACGTGCCTGCGTAAAAAGACGCCCGCGGGGAGGAAGGGTTTTCGCCCTCCTGACGTCATCATCGTAAAAGGCGAACCTTTCTGAGGCCCGACAAGGCAATACGGGGCGTCCCTGTGGGGACAGTGGCTTTGTTGATAGGAAGCCAACCTGAGGAATGAAGGCCTCTCAGAGGTCAGTAAAAAGGTACAGGAGTTCGTCATAAATAGAGCAGAAGCGGAAATTTTTAACTGACAGTTAAAAATTCAATTTTTGAATCAGGCGCCCGAGGGCCGGCTCTTAGCAACTAGGCATGCGCACCAGGTTGGAGCTACCACGCCCCCTCCTCCGGTAGCTTGAGATTCTGTCACTGAGACTAGATTCCTTGGTGCAAGACACGGTGAGCCGCTAGATCGGTGCAATTAAAAAATTGGTACAAGAGTTCGAGGCCAGCCTGGTCTACAAAGAAAGTTCAGGACAGCCAAGGCTACACAGAGAAACCCTGTCTTGAAAAAACAAAAAGAAAGAAAGGAAAAAAGGACTAGGTACAGGAATGAGGTCGGATCCCTGATAGCCCCGTGGTCAACATGTCGAGACTTTACAAGCTCGTTTCTGCATTGCATATTCACAAACCATAACGCTTAAGCCATTACCTTAGAGGCTGGAGAGCCTCACCGGTCCAAAGTGCTTATTCCTCTGGGAGAGGACACAAGTGCGATTCCGAGCACCTAACTGGAGGGAGACCCACAACAGTCTTAAATCCAGCTCCAGGGCATCCTTCCTCTGGCCTCCATGGGCACCTACCTGCGCATGGTGCACAGACATATCGTCAGGCACACACGATGTTCATAAAGATAAATATAAAAAGTAGCAACTTTGGCCAGGCGGTGGTGGTGCACGCTTTTAATCCCAGCACTCAGGAAGCAGAGGCAGGCGGGTCTCTGTAAGTGCGAAGTCAGCCTGGTCGACAGACCGAGGAACAGGACAGCTAGGGCTACGCAGAAAAACCCTGTCTCAAAAACCCTAAATAAATAAACAAACAAAAAATGAAAAACTTTGATTTGTCATTCCCTCTTTGCCAATGAAGAAACCAGAACTTTCAAATGTTGAAACTGAAGCAGGACAGCCTGAGAGTAGGGGCACTTATCATTAAGACTGGCAATCTGGATTCGATCCCCTCTGTCCAAGATGTGGAAGGATAGAACTGACTCCTTCAAGTTGTCCTCTAAGACAGCAGCATGGGCCTTTCACCCCAACAAAATAAGTAAGTTTATTTATTTATGCAAATAAATAAAAATTTAACTGAAGCTGTTTGCTTAAATTTGAGATTCAGGGTCTTTTTTTTTTTTTAAGACAGGGTTTCTCTGGGTAGCCCTAGCTGTCCTAAACTTGCTTTCTAGACCAGGCTAGCGTCGGACTAACAGAGATCCACCTGCCTCTGTGTCTCCTGAGTGCTGGGATTACAGGCGTGCACCACCACACCGGAGAGATTCAGGGTCTTTTTAAAGATTTGGTTTTGTTATTTTATTTATTTAGTGAGTGTGTGTGTGTGTGCGCGTGTGCACGACATAGCCATGCACGTGTCTCTCTGTCTGTCTACCCTGCTGGTGCTGGGATCACAGGCTGAGCCATTATTCCTTGCTTACTTACATGAATGCTGGCTTAGAACTCACATTCTCGTGCTTCCGTGGTGTGGTGGTGATTTCAATGGGCATGGACACCACAGGCTTGAACATTTGAATGTCTGGGTCCCAGTTAGACTGCTTAGGAAAAGTCAGGGCGTGTGGGCTTGTTGGAGGAGGTGTGCCACTGGGGCCGGCTCTGGGGTCTCAAAGGCCCACACCGGGGCCAGTCTTACTCCCTCTCTGCCCCATCTTTCAGATAGATGTGAGCGCTTAGCTACTGCTCCAGCACCATGCCGGCTGGCCACCCTGCTTCCCACTCTGATGACCATAGGCTACCCCTCAGAAACTACAAGCCAGCCCCCAGTTAAACACTTTATTTTGTAAGCTGCCTTGGTCGTGGTGTCCCATCAAAACAATACAATAGTATCCAAGACACACAGCAAGCACTTTACCAAACGAGTCCTGTTGACTTAATTTTAAAGAAACAAATACAAAAAAAAAAATATATACTCAATTTATTCTGAGAAAAATCATGACAGGAACATCTTGACTCCAAACTCATGATCCTCCCACTTCAGTCTCTTGAATGGTGAATGTACAATACCACATCAGGCTATTCAAGATTATTTGTCACAATAATTTTGTTATGGAAGAGAGACAACTCTTTTTTAAAGTGTTTTTTTTTTTTTTTTTGGTGTTTTGTTTTGTTTTGAGACAGTATTTCTCTGTGTAACCAGGGCAGTCCTGAAACTCACTCTGTAGACCAGATTGGCCTCAAACTCAGAGATCTGCCTGCCTCTACCTCCTCAATGCTGGGATTGAGGTATGTGCTACCACTGCCTGGTTTAAAAATGTTTTAAAATGGGCTGACAGGATGGCTCAGCAGGTAAAAGTGTTTTGCTGCCAAGATGATGTTCTGATGGTGGGAGGAAGAAAAAAACAAGTCCTGAAACACAACTATCACAAGTTGTCTACAAACACACACACAACACACACGCACGCGCGGCTTGGTACTTATTCTTCTGTTATCACCATTCTTCTGTTATCATCTGTTATACCTGATTATTATCCTTGCATCGTTACTAAAAGTAAAATTTTCTTTCCTTAAGAGAAAGCACCGTTCTGAGTCTCAAACATACCAGGCAACCACAGTATGTAAGTACGTGACTCATTTAGAAGCTGCCGAGCATACAATAGGCTCTATATCAATGTTTGCTATTTTGGATCTGGAAGGGTGGCTTAGCAGTTACTAGCACTTGCTGTTATGGCAGAGGGTCCAGATTCAGTTCCTAGCACCCACAAGGCAGCTCAACACTGCCTGGAATTCCAGTTCCAGGGGATCTGATACCCTTTTCTGGCCTCCATGGCCACTACATGCAAAGAAATAAAAGAAATCAGGTGTTGGATAACTCACTTATTGCTCTTTCAGAGGACTCAGGTTTGTTGTGCTCATTTTTTTTAAAGATTTATTTATTTATTTATTATGTGTACAATGTTCTGCCTGCACATATACCTACATGCCAGAAGAGGGCGCTAGATCTCAGTATAGATGGTTATGAGCCACCATGTGGTTGCTGGGAATTGAACTCAGGACCTTTGGAAGAGCAGCCAGTGCTCTCAACCTCTGAGCCATCTCTCCAGGCCTGTTGTACTCTTTTTAAACTTCTTTTTTTTTTTTTTTTGGGGGGGGGGAATGTGTGTTAAAGTCTCTCTCTTTCAACCTCCAACCCTAAGTAGGAGAGAGAAGGTTAGTGGGGGGGGGAGGGCTCAGACCCCTTCACTTCTCCCAGCTGTTTAGCTTGATGGGTTCTTTTGTCGCTGTACCAATCTCCATCAACAGCAAACACAAGCTCAGGCAGCAGTCTCCTCCCAGTCACTGTGGCCAAACATTTTTCTCTGTTTGTTTCCTCCAAGCCGACACACTTAGCACACCTGTTTGGTATCACCAAACAGCCACACTCTCTCTTTCTGGGCTCTCATATTTACATCATCAGAGTCCTAGACCACACTCCTCTCTGTGCTGCACGAGGCAGGCCTTTACCAGCTGGCAAAGGCCACGTCCTGCAGAAGGCATTTATCAACTGCGCACAAGCTAAAGCCCAAACTAAAATCCCACCCTTGGGATTAAAACAAAAACATATTTCCATAGCATAACTGAGTTTTAAAAGAAAACAAAAATGCTGGGCATAATATGACACATGCCTATAAACCCAGCACTTTGGAAAGCAGAGGCAGGAAGATCGCTGAGTTCAAGACCAGCCTGGTCTACAAAGCAAGTCCAGGACAGCCAAAGCTACACAGAGAAACCCTGTCTTGGTAGAAAAAAAAAAAAAAAGGAAAGAAAAAAAGAAACCAAAGTTTCCATTACATAGGTTAGGTTCCCAGCATCACATCATGGTCCACAACCATCTGTAATTCCAGTTCCAGGAAATCCAGTGCCCTTTGCCTGATCTCTGTGGGCACCAAGCACACACACATTGCACATACACATGCAGACAGAACAGTCATATACCTAAGGGTTAAAAGAAGGAAATCTAAAACACAGTAAATCTTTTAGAAAAGTGTTTGCTACTCTGCTTTGTTCCTACATTTGGAACGTGTCATAATTAACAAGTCTGGCCCAGTGTAGTGGTACATGCCTGTAATCCCACAGGCAAAAAGATTGCAAGTTCAAGGACAGCCCCTAGGGCTACATAGTAAGTTTCAGGCCAGCCTGGAATATATAGGAAGACCCGATGTCAACAATAAAACATGCTAGGCATCCTGACAAACTCCTTTAATCTCAGCACTTGGGGGGCAAAAGCAGGTGGATCTCTGTTAGTTCAAGGCTAGCCTGGTCTACAAAGTAAGTTCTAGGACAGCCACAGCTACATAGTGAGACGCTACTTCAAAACAAAATAACAATCAAACAAAGAAACAAACACATAACACATCTTAACAGTAACCAAACAGTGGAAATGAGTGTTGAGCAAATGATAAAAAGTCAAATGGATACACTCATACAATGTAACCCAGCTGAGGAAAAAGAAGAGGGAAAAAATGATCATGAAATAATAAAATCAGGTCTCAAAACTATCATGCTAAAAATAAACTTCTCCTAGGTGAAGGAAGCCAGATGGAAAGTGCTTGCAAATGCCAACTCCACTTATGTCAAGTATCAAGACACAAACCCGAAGAGCCAGAAAGTCATCAGTAACAACAGGGCTCTCCTGCCCAGCCCTGGCCCTAGGGTGTGAGGCCTGTGGTAGCTAAGAAAATGGGAGAAGTCGACCTGAGTGAGATTCAGAAGGGGTGACTCCAAGCAATCAAAGAAAGTGTTGGTCAGAAGTCGGGAAA